GGGGAGCGGCCCCGAAGCCCTTGGGTAGGGCATGTCCTCCTACGGGCGGGTTCTGGACGACAGATTGAATTAATTGATTTATTAATTAATTCTATATATATATACAGTTCACAACTAGTCAAACAATATCGAAGCATCGTCCCCGGACTATTTCTCGACGATCTTTGAACATTCCCCCTGTGGAGGGACACGGCCGACTTCGCCGAAGCCTCCCGCCGCCCCTCGGGCACCTGGAGCCCCGCACCCGCGCCCCGGGCACGGCTCCGCGAGGCAGTGCTCGTCCAGTGGAGAGGCCCCGGGGTCGGTGACCCTTTCAGACCCAGGCGTACTCGCGTCGTGCAAAAAAAAGAGAGGAACTCTGAGACCCTGGCGACTCAATTTCTTCGGGCCGGGCGTTTTCGCCCGGCTTCGGGCCACGGGACCCTCACAGATCGATCCAGATCGGAAAATGACGCAGGAAGATGGGGCCTAGGGCCCCAGGTCGTGGTTTTTCATGTTGTTTCAATTTTTTCGAGACGTCGGATCTCAGGGAAGGGGGTCTTTGGGCCAATTTCGGCCCCTGAGGGCCCTCGCTGGGCCTCGGGATCGTCAAACAAAGTGACTCGGGACGAAAAAACTGCCCTGGGGGAAGGGTCGGGACTTCCAGGGACCGCGTGTTGCACAAATCAAAACATCGCATGTCTGGGGAGAGCAGAGAAGCCACCCTCATAGTGATCCCCCCGACACGCGAAACCGTTTGGTGAACGCACCCGGGGGAGGAAGCGAACGGGGCAGGGCTGCCAGGTAAACGCCGCAGACCGTTGGAACAATTATGGTGGTCGGGGTGTTTTTCTTTTCTTGACTTTTCTCCCACGTCATGTTTTTTGTCCATCACTGCACCGACTTTGCAGACGTGCTGCAGCAGATTTTTGGAGTTCTGCCCATGCAAGACCCCGAAACGGCGAGCGAAAAACGGTGAATTTCGCGCGGATTATTTTCAATCTGCATCCCTGGCTAAAACGAATCCGCACGAAATTTCACCTCGAAATCCGGAACGAAATTCTCCAGGACACTCCAGGCCCATCGTATCGTTCTCCGGACGAAATCCACTCTGCGAAATCCGCTCTGCGACACGTCGTGACTTTTTCCATCACAGCGTGGACCCCCAGATGTTTCGGCCCCTTCCCGGTGACCGCTTCGCCATCCCGAGCCGTTTTTCCCGGAAAGGGCTTGGGCCCAGGGTTCTCTTTTAGAGGTTTACCCCCGGATCTGACGGCTGTAGGGCCGGCGAATTTCTTTTGCGATAAATAACGGGGTCGCGTAGGGCCGGCGTATTCAAATTTGAGGATGTCCCTAGCGACACGCTTGTTTTCAGAATTTGTTGAGGATGTCTCGAGCGAAACGCTTGTTTTGTGTTAATGATTGTCCTCTCCTGGGGACCTGAATTCAGAGGATCTCTCAAGTGAAATGCTTGTTTTCACGTGCCCAGGTCTTGAGGATGTCTCGAGCGAGACGCTTGGTTTCACGCCTCCAGGTTGCCCAGACAGATGTCTAGCATGAGGATTTGTTGAGGACTTCTCGAACCAGAGGCTTGTTTTCACGTGTCCAGGTCGCCCAGGCGGATGTCTAGCATGAGGATGTGTCGAGGAAGTCTCGATCGAGACGCTTGTTTGCACGTGTCCAGGTTGCCCAGGCGGATGTCTAGCGTGAGGATGTGCTGAGAACGTCTTGAGCGAAACGCGTGTTTTCACGTGTCCAGGTCGCCCAGGCACAGCACAGCCCTCGGCACGGTACATCAATATCGATACCTTGAGCATTGCAGCTTGGCATGTTGCCTGGCACGTTCCGCGGAGCGTCCCGTGGCGAGTCCCCCTGGCACGTCGCGCGGTGCACGTCAATTGGCACGTTCCGTAGCGCGTCCCCTTGGCACGTCCCGCGGTGCGTGCCCATGGCACGTCCCCTGGCACGTCGCCTGGCGCGTCCCTTGGGACGTTCCGCGGCGCGTCCTCCTGGCATGTCCCCTGTCGATAGTTCTGGGGCAGCTACCATCTGCTCAGGCAGCTCGAGCTTAAGATCCAGATCAGTTCGGTCAGGACTCGGATGCCAGGGAGGACTCGATCCACAACGCTATATAGAGCACAATCGCGGCATGTCACATCGCAGTTCAGCACGGCCAGCACAGCGCAGCCGTCGGCACGGTACATCAGGATCGATACATTCAACATTGCATCCTGGCACGTTCTTTGGCGCGTTCCGTGGCGAGTCCACCTGGCACGTCGCGCGGCGCGTCCCCTGGCACGTCCCGCGGCACGTCCATTGGCACGTTCCGTAGCGCGTCCCCTTGGCACGTCCCGCGGTGCGTGCACATGGCTCGTCCCCTGGCACGCCGCCTGGCGCGTCCCTTGGGACGGTCCGCGGCGCGTCCTCCTGGCATCATGTCCCCTCTGTCGATTAGTTTTGGGACAGCTACCATCTGCTCAAGCAGCTCGAGCTTACGATCCAGATCAGTTCGGTCAGGACTCGGATGCCAGGGAGGGCTCGATCCACAACGCTATATAGAGCACAATCGCGGCATGGCACATCGCAGTTCAGCACGGCCAGCACAGCACAGCCCTCGGCACAGTACATCAAGATCTGTACATTCAGCACTGCATTTGCCCGTCGCCCAATCAAATGTCTTTGAAACGTTGCCATGCCTAACATTTCTATATTCCTTTCCGGGTTCGTGGGTCGATCATGTTTTTCGCGGCCCCGGGGCCTGGTGGGGGCCTGGTGGGGGCCTCCAGAGGCCGAACATCTACAAAGTTATGCTCGGGTGCGCGCAAACATGGATCAACGATCCATGAATTTGGCGCGCGGTCGCCAAATACGTGGATCGGAAGAGGTGCCCTTCCCAAAATGCGGCCGGTGCCGCCTCGCCTGGCGGCGGAACGCCGTTAGTATGTAAACTTGTCCCCGGTGCCTCAACTGAGGTGGGCCGGCGGATTCTTTCCCTGATAAATATCGAAGTCGAGGTGGGCTGGCGGATTAAACATTGAGGATGTCTCAGGCGAAACGCTTGTTTTCGAAATCCCGATCGATAAATCACAGGGTGCGGGCCACCTCAGCACGACCACACCCCAGCACGACCACACCCCCTGCACGACCACCCCCCAGCACGACCACCCCCCAGCACGACCACACCCCAGCACGACCACATCCCAGCACGACCACTCCCCAGCACGACCACACCCCAGCACGACCACACCCCAGCACGACCACACCCCAGCACGACCCGATCGATAAATCACAGGGTGCGGACCACCCCAGCACGACCACACCCCAGCACGACCCCACCCCAGCACGACCCCACCCCAGCACGACCACGCCCCAGCACGACCACACCCCAGCACCACACCTTCCCCCGTGGAATGTTTCGTGGTGTCTGGTTGAGTGGTTGCCTGTTCGTGGGGTGTCTCGTGGAATGTTTCACGAGGTGTCTCGTGGAATGTTTCGTGAGGTGTCTCGTGGAATGTTTCGTGAGGTGTCTCGTGGGATGTTTCGCGGGGTGTCTCGTGGGATGTTTCGTGAGGTGTCGCCCAGTTGGGTATCGTGAAAACGTGACCATGCTGCACATGTCTATATCCCTTTCCGGGTTCGTGGGTCCATCATTTTCGGCGATCGACGGAGGAAAGGGGGGGGGGGTCTGGCCCTGGACCTCTTGCTTAATAGCGTCTGTTGGGGCCGTGCGTCCTGTGGGGTGGGGAGAGACCTCACCTGCCTGAAACAGGCGCCAAAAACAGCCAAGATCTACTCCATGAGGGGGGGGGAGGGGGAGAGGGGGGGGTGCGAGGGCCCTCGCCGATCGGTAAAAGAACCAATAAAACACGCTCACAATCCACGCCCCCTTGGCCCATGTTTGCGATCCCCTGGTGTGCGTCGTCGTGCTTCCTGTCCGCCACGAGAGGGGGCCTCGGTTCCCCCCGATGGCGAGGCGGCTGAGGCCGCCGATGCGACTCGCGACGAGACTGCGGACTCTCGCTCTCGCGAGATGCACTGCGGCGAGGGGCGGTGGGGCGGGGCGCGAGGGGCGTGGGGGGGGGGCGGGGGCGGGGCGAGGGCTGCTCCGGCCTGGAAGTCTACTCCCTGGCCCAAGAGATCGGCAAGACCGAGGCGATTCCGATCTCAGGGACGTGCCCTCAGAACTCCAGTGGATCCGTAAGATGTGCGGTGATGCCAAACATGGGGATAATGATATGCTTCGAGCACAGCGCCGTGGGGCGATGCCGGCGAGGTCAAGCTCCCCGAGGAGACCGGGCGGCTTACGCGTCTCGGCTCGGCGGCGAGACCAGGCGGGAAGAGAGAGGGGGCAGGCCTGCACGGTTTCCCCCGGGGCCGTAGGTGACCCGAGGAGGAGGAGGAGGAGGAGGAGGAGGAGGAGGAGGAGGAGGAGGAGGAGGAGGAGGAGGAGCAGGAGGAGCAGGAGAAGGAGAAGGAGCAGGAGGAGGAGGAGGAGCAGGAGGAGGAGCAGGAGGACGGGTCGCCAAAGCCCTTCGGAGAAACCCTCCAGGCAGGCCTTCTCAGAGGGCGGCGTGGCTTCTCAGGAGCCCTCGCGCCTTCTGAGAGGCAGAAGCCCCGGACGTCGTCTCCGAAGCCACGGGCGGCCTCTCCCAAGGCGCGGGGGGCCTCTGATGAGAACCTCCGCGGGCCCTCTGCGGTGGCCTGCCCCCCTCCCCTCTCTTCCCTCCCCAGCTCGCCGCCGCTTGGCGAGCTCCGGCCGGGAAGCGCGCGGCGGTCGCCCGGCCTGTGCTCGGAACGAACACCCCCACCTCGGGGGCTTCCACGAGGGCCTGGATGGGATAGGGGCGGGGGGGGGGGGGGAGCCATATGCAGGGGGGGGGGGTAATGCAGGCGCGACGCGCTGGGCCAAAGATCCTGACCGTACGTCTGGAGCTGGAGAGAGAAAGGGGCGACTCTAATTCCCCGCGCGCTCACAGCCCGCGGCATCGTCCACCGCAGGCGTGGGAGCCCGAGCGGTGCAC